GTTATAACCTGGTCTGAACCCCTGCTATTATAATTTGGTAAAACCCCTGCTGTTATAACCTGGTCTGAACCCCTGCTGTTATAACCTGGTCTGAACCCCTGCTGTTATAACCTGGTAGAACCGGCAGGCGGACCGGCCAGACTCCTCCCAGGACTGGAGGAGAGAGACGCAGGTCCTCGAGGACTAGAGGCTGCCGATCGCCCCCTACCCATCCCTTCTCTTCTGTCAGTGAAGCTGAAGGATGCGCAGCTGTGACTGCACTGTCTCTTGGTGTCCAGGAAAGGGAGGGCTGTATCCTCGTTTTTTGTTTCACTTCAGTTTATAAATTTGTGTTCACTTGTGGAGTCCTATCCATCTAGGGGAAAGCATCTGCTGTTGTCCTACCTTTGGAATTAGAAATTTAGCCTTTGATCAAACAAGACAGTCTTTAGTGAGAATCATTCTGTTTCAGGGCTTGTTAACTTGGGGGAACTGCTCTTAGGGAGTGGGGCTGTTTCTACAGTCAATCCCAGCACCCCCAGCAAAGGCAGCTTCTGCCCTTACACCTGAGTGGTGTTCTTCGTCAGAGGAGGCTGGGGAGAAGCGTGGCTACTGCTGGCCTTCATGGCGCCTGTTCCCGAACAGGTGTGACTCCCATTTGGGGGCTGAGGTAATCCACCTTCCGTCACTGCTTTAACCAACCACTTGATCACGTCTCTGCCAGGGAAGAAAGATAAGAAAAAGTTTAAGCTTTTGTCTGATTGTATGGTGCTCAGAACTGCAGCCTTAACCTGGGCTCCTAAACCCCTAGGTTTCCCCAATGGCAACAGAAGGCCCTTAGGCTATTTTCAATCTACGTAAGTCTACTGGAAACCACACACTAAATGCAGTAGGGTTATATACGTAACTAAGATACCAACATTTACTGAGTTACCATCATTGAAAGGTACCTCCAAGGTCTAAGAGCACTATTTCTGGCTTCCTGACCAGAAACATCCCTTGACTAGGTGGTGAGCTGAAGTGAATGACCACAGAAGTCCTTGCTGGCTTTCACTTGTTAGGTGTCATCTATTAATGCTAACACTCCAGGTTTAAAGTATGTACAGTAGAGTCACAAAAACATCTTATACAGTCAAAATTCCTTGGATGATCACTTAGGTAACTGAGGCAGAAATGGTGGATTGAACACACACAGCTAACTTTGTATCTTTCAAAAATCCCACTAATAAATACTACAGTAAATCCTTTTTAAAAATCTACAAGGAATAAGAAAAAGAGGTGAAAACAAATCATGAAATTTTAGAAATTGGGAGGAAAATGAAGTATATTCACATAACAGAATATTATATAGTAGTGGAAATGGATAAGCTACAGTGTTAGGTAACAATATGGACAAATCTTAGTATTCTGTAATATTAAGTGAAAAATAAAAGACTTTTTAAATAACGGATTACATATAGCATGATATCCTTTTATATATAGCTAAAAGTAAAAATATATACTTTGTAGGAACACATGCAGATGTAATAAAACTACATAAAAAAAGTAATCAAAGTAGCTTATAACTTAACAGTGATTCTGGAAGCTAGAAGACAATGGAAGATTTCCTTCAACTTTCTGTCGGAAAGTTATTTCTTTTTTTTTTTAATTCAATCTTTATTGTTCAGATTATTACAGTTGTTCCTCTTTTTTCCCCCCATAACTCCCTTTCTCCCAGTTCCCACCCCACCCTCTGCCCTCACTCCCCATCCACTGTCCTCATCCATAGGTGCACGATTTTTGTCCAGTCTCTTTCCGCATCCCCCCTCACCCCTTTCCCCCTGCAAGAATAGTCAGATTTTTTTTTAATTCAATCTTTATTGTTCAGATTATTACAGTTGTTCCTCTTTTTTCCCCCCATAACTCCCTTTCTCCCAGTTCCCACCCCACCCTCTGCCCTCACTCCCCATCCACTGTCCTCATCCATAGGTGCACGATTTTTGTCCAGTCTCTTTCCGCATCCCCCCTCACCCCTTTCCCCCTGCAAGAATAGTCAGACCACTCTCTTTCTATGCCCCTGATTCTATTATAATCACCAGTTCATTCTGTTCATCAAATTATTCACTTGATTTTCAGATTCACTTGTTGATAGATGTGTATTTGTTGTTCATAATTTGTATCTTTACCTTTTTCCTCTTCTTCCTCTTCTAAAAGGATACCTTTCAGCACTTCCTATAATATTGGTTTGGTGGTGAT